CCTTTCCACATTTTTGTGTCTTTCAAATTTCCTATAAATGCATATAATATACTTTGTCTTAAAAATGATCTTCACATGAAAATACCTCCCCTCCTCCGCTCCTGGAGAATCTGAATTTACCACATACTATTTAGATGATTTGTCTTGTCTACCAGCTGCCTCAGCTAAGCTGTGAAATTCTGGATGGCAGATATGTGTCTTATTGATCATTGAACCTTTAGCTGCTAGTGTGCATGGCCACAGTAAATGCTGACAATTGTTTTTCACACTAAACTGGAGGTAGTTTTAGTTGTTATGCTCTTGGGACTTACCTGGGCTACCTAACTGTAGACTTGCGAGATTAACCTGTAAAAGAAACTTCCTGATCTCCATCTTCTAAAGGAGTGATTTCTTTGAAGGTTGCTTTTAGTAGACTAATGCATATAAAATGCATAATGCCATGTGTTTCATGAAGAACATGTTCAATACATATTCCCTTTCCTTCTCCAAAGGGTACCCATTCTTTTGCAATTCTACTTGGAGCTGTTTTTCACTTACTATCCGTATTCCACACTAGGACCTGTGTGATCCAAATGTCTAAATTACACTGCTTGGAGGTACAGATAAGCAGCTTTAAAAATAAGCCTGGCAGGTGGCAGTGCCCATAAACAAATCCCTCCTGGCTGCCGGTAATTGGAATAAGACGACAATGATGTTCTGACTGCTGGCTTTAAGGCACGGGAGGGGAGTTCATGCAGAGTTGGAATTAGAGAATGTCTTTGCTGGAAACACACCTTGGAGGCACCCAGTCCAAACTACTCACTTTATAGACATGGAAACTATAAAAAATAATAATTAAAATTAAAATTAAAATAGAGTTGAGAGACCCGAATTAAATAGAGTTGAGAGACCCGAAAGGGGAGCTCTCATGCCCTATGCTGATAGCAGAGCCTAATAGGAAGAAGAAAGACTTTCTCTTCTCACCTGGCAAGAGCTCAGCCAATGAGAGACAGTCATGGCTCAGTCAGTGAAAAGCCATGGACTCTGTTAACTATAGCACTCCCAACTTCCTTTCCCCCTCTATTAAAAAGTTCTTTCCATTTTTGCTGGGGATTTGCACATGGCTAGCCATGGTTGCAGACCTCAAACTGCAATTCTTTGTTAACTCCAAATAACCCAGTTTTTGCAGGAGAAATAACTAGCAGTCTATTGTTGGAGCATCTGTCAGCACTTTATTCTTTTTTATGGCTGAATTCGATTCCACTGTATGGATATACCTGATGACATATTTAAAGCCATTTAAAAACCAAAATGGAGTAACTACGGTTCAGGCATCCAAAATGGAGCCAGGTGGGACCTCCCTGGTGGTCCAATGGTTAAGACTCCGTGTTTCCAATGCAGGGGACCCGGCTTTGATCCCTGGTCGGAGAACAAAGATCCCCCACGTGTTGCACAGTGCAGCTAAATAAATAACAAAATGGAGCCAGGTGACCATTGTGGATGCAGTTGCAGACATGTTCCTAAATCACTGGGAACTTGAATTTTCTGAACTGTATCAAATTCTAGGGCACTACTTGCCATCTTCAAAACAGTATCTGCTAGCAGCTGCTCCCTGAAACCTTGTAGTTTCAAAGTTTCCCCAACCCTTTTGCAATAATGCAATGATTTTGAACCCCAACCAGTTCTTGTTTAATAAGCGCCCTTACTTCTTGCCAGCTCCAGTCCTAGTTGTTGACAAACAACCTGTGTAAACTTGCCCCGTTTTGCTTTATAAGCATCCCCCATTTTGTAGTCCAACAGAACACAATTCAAATACTTCTTGAATCTGTGTCTCCCGGGCTATGGTCCTAACAAACCCCAAATAAGCACCTCTTTACTTCAATAAGGTCTCTGTTTCTGAAATTTCGGTTAACATACCACATTTTGTTTATCCATTCATCAGTTGATGGACATTTGGATGGTTCCACTTTGGGGCTATTATGAATAATGTTGCTATGAACTTTCACAACACTGCTTTTTAAAAAGGTCGCCAGGAGAGGTACAAATTATTATGTATAAAATAAGCTACAGGGCTTCCCTGGTGGCGCAGTGGTTGGGAGTCCGCCTGCCGTTGCAGGGGACGCGGGTTCGTGCCCCGGTCTGGGAGGATCCCACATGCCGCGGAGCGGCTGGGCCCGTGAGCCATGGCCGCTGGGCCTGCGCGTCCGGAGCCTGTGCTCCGCAGCGGGAGTAGGCCACAGTGGTGAGAGGCCCGCGTACCGCAAAAAACAAAAAAACAAAACAAAAAAAAGCTACAAGGATATATTGTACAACACGGGGAACAGAGCCAAGATTTTATAATAACTGTAAATGGAATATAACCTTTAAGAACTGTGAATCACTGTATTGTACGCCTGTAACATATAATATTGTATATCAACTATACTTCAGTTAGAAATTAATTAATTTAATTAATAAATAAACAAAAAGTCGCCAGTGACCTCCACGCTGTTAAACCCAATGGACACTTCTCTGCTTCTTGTGCAACCATCCGGGGGCATTTGACACAAAGACCCAACTGTCCGCAAAAGACTCTCTCCTCTCTGGGTTTATGTCTTAGCACATTTTCATCATTTTCTTCCTACATCTCTGCCTACTTCTCTTTCTCCACTTGTGACCCTCTCCCACCCATTGTCCTCATTGCAGTGAGGGACTGTTTCCTGTGTGAATCAGATCCCCTCACCTCCCTGCTAGAAACCATTCACTGGCTTCCTGTTGATCTGAGACCGAAACCCATAAACTCTTCAACATGGTGTCCGAGGGCTGCATGACCCAGCTCTGGTTTCCTCTCCACTTCATTGGCGTCACCCTCTCTTCACCGTGCTCCAATTGTGCGAGGTTTTTGCTTGTTTGTATTTTAGTTCCTCCTATGCACTGAACTCATTCTCACCTCAGGGCCTTTGCCTGTGGTGTTTGCTTGATGACAAATGCACTTCCATATTTTTCCCTATGGCTCACTACTTTTCATTCTTTAGGTCTCAACTATAAAGGTTTACAGTCACAGAAAGGTTTCTAACTGCTGTATGGAGTGGGAATATCTGCCTTGGATATGCCTTAACTCAGCACATCCCAGCCCTTGTTCTAAGAATTTGCTAGGCAGAGCAATTCTCAGAGCTTCCTGAGGGTCTGTTTCTCACACTGTAATCCTCAGTTTGGCTCAAATAAAATTCACTTTTTTCTCTTAAAAAAAAAAAAAACAGAAGAATTTGCTTTCTTGGTGTGCCTGTGGGTGACTCGCTGTGCATTTGTGTGTTCATCTATTTACCCTTGTGTGTCTGTCTTTGACATTGGACTATATTATTCTCAGGGCCTATCCTTTAATAGATGCTCAATAAATATTTGTCGAATGAAATGAAGAAATAAATTACATGGAAAATAAAGAGTCAATTAGGATCAAATGACATAACAGAAGGGATCTGAACATATTTGGCAAACTCTGCAGGGCTATAAAAATATAACAGATGACCGCCATTATGTAATACATACATAATCACTGCCATTTGTTGCATAGGAAAAGGAATTATGTCAAAAGGTAAGAATTTGGATTTCAGGACTTGGCACTCCCCATTTCCTGACCTCATATTACATTCTGACAACTCTGACCAGTGGGCAGTTAGCTGTCTCCATGGGGATATTTCACAACTCCAGGCTGCACTCATCATGGTTCCTCTACTTGGAGTAGACATCCTCCTTTTCTTCATCTAGAAAAGGCCTTTCATCATTCCTTGTTCTTGAAAAATTTGTGCTGTGCCCTGCTTGACCCCTCAACATCCTCAGAGGGGATTAGCTCCTCCCCTCTTCCTTCCCTGTGTCATTTTCACTTTGACTATTTCAGGCAGACTGTACTGTTGATACATCTGTCCTCACTGGACTCTGAGCTGGTTGACAGCACAGGCCATGCTTACTTCATTTCTGAACCCATCCATTCATCAGTCAAGTCACTGACTGAGCATCTATTATGTGCTAAGCCGTGAAGCCTGGAGTGGAGTACAGAGGCTGCCACGTAGTAAAACCTCAACGCATACTTGAGGAGACTGGAAGGAAGGAAATTGCTTGGATCCTTGTTCTTTTGATCCAATCTCACCAGATGGGACTGAATTGAGAATGGAGAGAAGAGAAAGCTCCTAGAAAACATACTAAGACTAGACACCACGGAGTCCGGTCAGCAGCTCCCAGTTAAGTTCAAAGAAATCCTTGTCTTGTACCTGTTGAGCCCGTAGCACAAAGAGAGAGTGAGCAATCGGTCTCTATGCAGACCTGCTACCTGAAAGGTCCTGACTTGCGTTTGCTTTTGCCGCTGGGCACTAGGAACAGAGGGGAGAAGACGCTCACCCCAAGAGGAGGACAGCAGTGAAAATAGGCCCCCTATGCTGGCCCGGTCCCTTTCCTCACCTTCACTGAGCACTGAAGTCCTCCACTCTCCCTTACAGGGGAGTGATGAGCGGGCTGAAAGAAAGGGCAAGAGAAGCTTTCTTCCTACTATTTGTGAAAGGTCCGAGTTCCTACAGCATGTGTCACACAGTATGGACCAAGTTGGCGAGGCAAGGACCGGGGTAAATGGCTCTCCTTTCTGCTAGCATCCTCTCGGGCAAGTTTTTAAAGGATGGATCACTTTTTAAGTGGAGTTTCACATTTTGAGGGTGAAGGGATGAAGCAGTTATATTAAAATTGTACATTAGTCAGGACTTTATGCCTAATTTCAAGAAATGTTGAAAGAAAATTAATGCCGGGGCATATGCTCAAGGCAAGAAGATAGAAACCCAGCCTGACATAGATTACTAGTAAATCAAGCATGCTGAAATATGGAAGGCACAATGCATTTATAAATTTTTCAAAATTCTCGCTCTCAACAGAACCTTTTCCCTAAATGGCTCTAGTCATTTTAGGGCACTTGACTTGAAGTTTCCAAAATGACTCATTTAAAGAATATGAGGTCCCCTGCCTGCCCCACCCTCACCCCATCTCCTACAGCTGTCACTTACCATGAGTTCTTTGCTTTTAGTGAAAGGCCACCAGCCCCGCACACGCTTTTGCTGGAATATGGATATCTTGCTCTCCTCACTTGCATTTTCAAACTTGGTGAGATCGCAGTCTTTGGCAGACTTAGCTGCTCGGGGAAAACTATTGAGGTTCATTTCCAGGGAGCCTGTGAAGAGATGCCCTTAACAGTTATAGAAGGGCTTGAAAATCCATCGTCATCCTCATTCACCCACTCATTCATCCATCCACTCACTGGTCATTCAGTCAGGACCACATGGGATCCACAGCATGTGCCAGGTACTGAGGGCACAAATATGACCAAGACATGTTTGGTGCATTTAAAGCATCAGTAATATGGCAGCAGGCAGAAGACAAGGGCAGAGCTGCCGTATGTAACTTTCAAGCCTCAGTTTCCGGTGTCATCTGTCGGGCCTCTTCTCTGCTCCCTGAGCGTGATCTGGATTACGTGTCTGTCCTTTGAGCTGTTCCCTGCCTTAGCACAGATAGCCTGTAAGAACCTCCTCCCCCGACCTTACCTCTGTCTCTGAGCCCACTCAACTGCAGGTTGGGGACTCAGTCTTACTGTCTTGGTAGCTGCTCTCCAGTACCTTCGTGGGCGCTCAGCAATGTTTTCTCTTTTTAAAAATGTTTCATACATTTTAAATGTTACTTTCCATTTACAGTTATTACAAAATAGTGGCTGTATTCCCTGTGTTGTACGATGCCCCCTTGAGCCTATCTCACACCCAGTAGTTTGTACCTCCCCCTCCCCCACCCCATCTTGCCTCTCTCCGCATCCTTCTCCCCACTGGTAATCACTAGTTTGTTCTCTGTCACCTGTGAGTCTGCTTCCTTTTTGTTGTATTCACTAGTTTTCAACAATGTATTTTCAATGAGTGGATATAAGCCAGAGTAAGATAATGCCATGAGAATGTTCTATTTCTCTCTCCTTAATAACCTTTCCTTATTTTGAAAGTGATATATGTTAACTGTGAACATTTAGAGCATGCACATTAGCAAAAAATAGAAATCTTTTTTTCTATTATCTTTCCACCTCCCGAAAGTTGGCGACTGTCCTACTTATTAGTTCATACCCTTATATCAGTCTTTCTGTCTCTTTGGCTGTCTCTGACTATCTCTTTCTCCTATAAAAATAAACATATTTTTTACCGAAAGGGGATTTTTTTTCCTATACACTTTTTTTCACTTAATGCACCCTGCACAATTATCCAACTCATTAAATATTCTAATATTTTAATGGCTGCAGGGTTATCACTTATTGAGTGCTTACTATGTATGAAGCACTGTACTTTGTTTTTAAATTATATTACCACATTTACAGCTCCCCTCTGAGGTTGTAATATTATCCCCATTTTACAGCTGAGGAAAACTGAGGTACAGAGGAGACCAGTAATTAGCTCAAAACTTAATAGCTTCTTAGTCTGTTTGAATACGTATGTTCCACCATAGGGATGCACTGTAACTTACTGAGTCAATCCCCTATTAAGGGCTATTTGGAGTGTTTCGATATTTTGCTATCAAAATTATTAAACAGCATTGAAATTACTATCCCTGGAGCTAACTCAGACTAAGTTCTCCAAAAGCTGGGATAAAACCCTCAACATTAATAAGAGCTTGATGAAGCCACTGGCTTACCCAGAAAATCATCTGAAGACAGCCTTTCAAAATCCCAGACCTGAAGCACCAACACAGCTGGTGTCTTACACTCCATCTTCTCTAAGGAAAAGATGTTCTCCCTCTTGGTAACGACCATTTGCTTCTCTGCTGGGAGATACTGAAATGGAAATAGAAAGCGCCAGTTGAAGTTCCCCTCTCCAGTCAGAGAGTTGTAATGCACGTCTGTTTCCTGCTTGTCGTCTTCCAAACCCTTTAACCACCTGAATAAAGACAGAAAAAGAATTAAACACTCAGAGCACGTTATTCAGGCATCAATATAATCAAGAGCGATTTAACTAGTTTCATTGTGGTCACAGATCCATGGTTTTAAAATTATGATATAGTTAGATTTAGATGAAAGTTTCCATTGAATCCGAAAGAGATAAATAGGGATCAAAGGGTCGGAAACTGAACCAAGACTCTCGGTCTAAGTCAGGTTGGGGAATTGTCTTCAGTTCTTGGGTAGATCTGAAGCTGCACTCAGAAAAAAGGGAGAAGTCAGGAAATGTGAAATGAAAGTGTAACCTGAGTTTCCTCTCGCGTTGGGCGACCTCTTTATAACACGTACCATTTCTGCACCCACTACATTACATTGCTACATTACATAGGTAAATTATCTAACCTCTCTGTGCCTTTGTTTCATCTAGAAAATGGAAGCAATGACAAAATCTGGTTCATAGAAATTCAGAGGAATTATATGAGATAGTATATGTACAGTGCTTTGTGTACCCCAAATGATCTATTATGTTATTGCCTCTTAGTATTATCTAGTCTTTCTCCTCCATGCCAAGTATAAAGTAAGCTACAATGAATACATTTTCCCCTAGTACTTTATCCACAGCTAATTAATTCTTGAGAAAAAATGTACTTTTAATTCAAACTAATTGATAATGCCAAACCACTTGCTTTCTGAAAGCAGACATCCCTCCCTCCACCCCAACCCACCCTGGGGCAGGGGAGGGTAAATACCCTTCTATTCCCAGAGGAGTGGTACCACTTGGGGTATGGGCACAATTATTTAGCTAAAGACGGTGCTCGGTCAACCAATATATGTGTGGTATCTCTTACGAGGCAGGGAGTGAGCTAGATGCTAGGGGAGTGATAGGGAGCAAACAGGGATGGTTCTTGCCTTCATGGAGCTACAGTCATGGAGGGAAGAGGATGGAGGGAGATAGGTGGGATGGCAAAAGTCACCAGTGAGCGATGTGCAAAGGCCCTGTGGAAGAAGAGGTGAGGACACATCCTAGAAAGGGAAAGAAGCTCCGTGTGACTAGAGAGCAGAAGGCAAGGGGGAGTATTGATCCAGCGAGATGAGTCTGGAGACATAGGCAAAGTCTAGTCATGTGTGATATTTTAGGACGTATGAGGGATTTGGATCTTTGTCTAGAGAAAATAGGACGTCATTAAAGGGTCTTAAGTACAGGACTTAATATGTGTCAGATTGTGTTTTGAAAAGATAACTCGTGTTTCAACAATAGAGAACAGATTATTGGAGGCAAGGCTGAATAGGGAGAGACCAATTCAGATAGTATTGGTATTTCAGTGACCCCAGCAGGAAATGATGGAGGAAAAGATGATGATGGTGATGTGGTGAGATGAAGAGAATGGACAGTGCTGACAGCTATTTTGGGAGTAAAGTGAACAAGACTTAATAGTGTACTAGAAATGGGAGTGTCAGTGAGGAAGGGGGTTTCTTGTTGGGGGAAAACAAAGAGATACCAAAATAAGGCTGAGATGAATTTACTATTTCTGAGATGAGTTTTATCTGAGGGTCCATGTTTAAGTCACATTGTTTCTGATTCTCTACCACTGATTAGGGGTGAAAAGGAAAACCTACAAAGACATTTGTGTTATAGCCAAGATGTAAGAGAGAGATACAAGATATTTAGTTTCCTGAGTCCTAGGTTGGTAAAACTAGCAAACGGGAAGGTATAAAGTTTAGCTTTTGTACTAGGCTCATAATCTTCCTAAACACTTAATCTTTCATCAAGAGCACTACAGCTGTCGACTTCCTTCTGGTGTAAAGGTATTTTGAATGTCATTCAAAAAGTTTAGGCATCCAATATTTAACTGAAAGAGACGTTTACATAATAAGACTTCCTCACAAAAATATTTCATGGGATAATCATTCTTAGCAAAATGACCAAATAAGGCAAATATATGACAAAGGAAGTGACCTTATCTAACAAGGTAAGATGGACTCCTTTTGTGAGATGTGCGTAGAATATCTTCCACGAGGCATAGTTTGGTTAGGGGTGAAAGAGGTGAAGAGGAGAAGGAAAGGGGGTTTGGAGTTTGCTGGTGAGCTTTTACCCTTTAACATAAATATCACTTGATTTTTGTCCTGTGAAGATATTCTCATCCTCTAAAATGACATCTTCCGTGTTCCAGATGGTCACTCTCAATTCATACCTGGGATAAGGGAAGGCAGACTTAGGTTGAAGACCTTGGACGCTGAGTCGATTGGTATCTATGTGATTCTGGTACTGCTGTGAGTCTATAAGCTTCCTCAGCTTTACCAAGTTCAAAAATGTCAAGACTTAAGGTTTTCGTTCCATCAAAACCAAGTGTCCCAGCTGGAATCGCCAAGAACATGAATTTCTCTGAGCACATCCTCCTTCCATTAACCGACATTTTTCAGAATGTTGAAACTCAGGGGCTCCTACCATAAAACAGGGGCCACCATTTCAATCCCCACCACTACTGTTATCACCACCACTCACCCCCTGCTGTACCTGGCCGGGTGGAAAGTGAGGCATGATTATCAGGTGTCAGCTGATAAATGTAATGTATCGGACACCAGATCAAATGACATGATCCTTTAGTCTGAGACCTTGGTCTCTTTCCTTGAAGGTGGGGCTGCAGGTTACTTACCCTTTGGGTTTCCTTGGCGAAATGTCAACAGGAGGTCCAGGCTGAGGCATGTCTTTGGGAAACATGTCCACCCACATCTGCAGGCGGCCCTTGTTAAGAAAACATCCTTTAGATTTTTTTTTGGGGGGGGGAGGGGGGCATTATCACATGGACACTGACCATTCACGGTGTTAACAGATCCCTTTACTAGTAATGGATATTAGGTACATACAATATAATATAATGTAATGTGATATAATAAGGATATTATCCATATTATATTCAGAATATTTGTTGACAAAGACAGAACTTATATTTTGATTAAAAATTAGAACATAGGGCTTCCCTCGTGGCGCAGTGGTTGAGAGTCCGCCTGCCAATGCAGGGGACGTGGGTTCGTGCCCCGGTCTGGGAGGATCCCACATGCCGCGGAGCGGCTGGGCCCGTGAGCCATGGCCGCTGGGCCTGCGCGTCCGGAGCCTGTGCTCCGCAACGGGAGAGGCCACGGGAGGGAGAGGCCCGCATACCGAAAAAAAAAAAAAAAACCCCAAAAATTAGAACATAGGGCTTCCCTCGTGGCGCAGTGGTTGAGAGTCCGCCTGCCAATGCAGGGGACGTGGGTTCGTGCCCCGGTCTGGGAGGATCCCACATGCCGCGGAGCGGCTGGGCCCGTGAGCCATGGCCGCTGGGCCTGCGCGTCCGGAGCCTGTGCTCCGCAACGGGAGAGGCCACGGGAGTGAGAGGCCCGCATACCGAAAAAAAAAAAAAAACCCAAAAAATTAGAACATATATCAAGAGGAGCGTATATCAAGAGAAGGGGAAAGGTAAGCAAAACCTTATTGCGCACCTATTATGTGGTAGACACAGTGCTATGCACTTGAAAAGCATTGTCTCATTAATTCTTCCAATATCCCCACTAGGTAGATGTTATTATTCCTACTTGGCAGATGAGAAAATGTCTTGCCCATGTTTACATAGGCAACATGTAGCAGAGCCTGGATTCAACCCTTGTCTGCTGACTCTAGAGACCCTGCTCTTCTTACCAACCCCTAAGGATTACAAAGATAATACTATCTGTCAGAAGAGTCATGCTTCATTGCTTCCAATGTACCTTAACATCCATTATCTCCATCAGTGCTCACCCCCAGCCACGTTTCTGTGCTACCCATAAAAAAACTAAGGTTCAGAGAAGTCAAAGAAATTATCTGAAGTCCCGTGGCTAATTAGTGGCAGAACAGGGCCTTCCATCCATTGCTTTGGACTCCATACATCAAAATGTACCCTGTTGCAAGGGATGTGAGAGCCCAGGTGGGGAGAAAGTCCAGTGGATTCCATATTCAGGTCTGTTGTATGCATGCTAATTGCTCCGTCAGCTCAGGCAGGAAGGTGAGTGATCAACAAGGGCTGGGATGGTCAGGGGAGATTTTATATGAAGTAAGTGGGGCTTCCAACAGAGTGGGAAGGATTTGTAGGATTTGGGTGAACGAGGGGCTTTGGCTAGGGAAAAAAAAAGAGGATTTCCAGGGGAAGGGGCAATGTAGGCAAAGCGTTAGCATTCGGGAAGAGAAGAACCAATTCAATGGAGGATTATATTCCTAGGTGTCTAAAGAGACGTTAACGTTCACCGTTAACCAAGAAGCTATATCTGACAGGCAAAATGAAGGACACCAGTAACCAAAATATTTCGAACATCTGGTAGTAAATCTTAGAAAATAGTCATAAGCTTCTACATCTGATAAAAGTTTATCCTTTCAAGACACGCCCTCACACATGCTATCACGAGGTTTATACCCCAGCATTGCTGGGATAGCAGTGTGGGAGTTCCTGCCCCATTATAGTCAAGCTCACGTGCTTTGCCCAGACTACACAGCGAGTGAGTCCAGAGCTGGGCCAGAACTAGGGACTCACACTGCCTGGGTTAAATCCCACCTCTACTTATTACCAGCTGAGTAACTTTGAGCAAGTTACTTAAACTCTCTGAACCTCAATTTCTTTATCTTAAAAGTAAGGATTATCGGGCTTCCCTGGTGGCGCAGTGGTTGAGAGTCCACCTGCCGATGCAGGGGACGCGGGTTCGGTACCCTGGTCCGGGAAGATCCCACATGCCGCGGTGCAGCTGGTCCCGTGGGCCATGGCCGCTGAGCCTGCGCGTCCGGAGCCTGTGCTCCGCAACGGGAGAGGTCACAGCAGTGAGAGAGGCCCGCGTGCCGCAAAAAAAAAAAAAGAAATAAGCGTGAGGTGACACACACACCGGTTTGTCTAGGAAAATCGTGGTGTGTGCCCCTTGTATCAGCTTAATTATTAATAGTGCCTTCTTTCACTCTCAAAATGGCCATAATTTGGATAAATAAATCTATGGCCATCCTAATTGGGTGAGATAATTTCTGTAAAGGGCCTAGGACGTAAAAGCCTCTTAATAAACTTGTCTTCTCTTCCCTGCTAACTCAGAAGCCAGCTCTCTAGTTATCTTTTCCACACACAGCTTGTTTTGCCAGTTCTTCAAGGTAAGCCTCCATCTATTGCTTCTTTGGGAAAACTAGTGGGCTGTGCGGTTACTGATAGATTTTTGGACAAGGTCTTGGGCGCATCAGATGAGTTTTGAAGTTTCTCAAATGTCAGCATTCTTCAGAAAGAACGTGATAACTCAAATCATAAAAGGGAAA